ATACCTGGACACTAACACCCTCCCAAGCCAAAACCAGGAAGAAGTGGAAACCCTGAATAGACCAATAACAAGGACTGAAGTTGAGGCAGCAATTAATAGCTTACCAACCAAAAAAAGCCCAGGTCCAGATGGGTTCACAGCTGAATTCTATCAGACATACAAAGAGGAGCTGGTACCACTCCTTCTGAAACTATTCCAAACAATACAAAAAGAGGGAATGCTCTCTAAGTCATTTTATGAGACCAACATCATCCTGATATCAAAACCTGGCAGACACTCAACAAGAAAAGAAAACTTCAAGCCAATATCCGTGATGAACAAAGATACAAAAATCTACAATAAAATACTGGCAAACTGAATCCAACAGCACATCAAAAAGCTTATACATCATGAACAAGTAGGCTTCATCCTGGGGATACAAGGCTGGTTCAACATACACAAGTCTATAAAAGTAATTCACCACATTAACAGAACCAAAGACAAAAACCACATGATTATCTCAACTGATGCAGAGAAGGCCTTCGACAACATTCAACAGCCCTTCCTGCTAAAAACTCTCAATTAGGTATCAACAGAACCTGTCTCAAAATAATAAAAGCTATTTACGACAAACCAACAGCCAATATCATACTGAAAGTGCAAAAACTGGAAGGATTCCCCTTGAAATCTGGCAGTAGACAAGGATGCCCTCTCTCACCACTCCTATTCAACATAGTATTGGAAGTCCTAGCCAGAGCAATTAGGCAAGAAAAAGAAATAAAAGGTATTCAATTAGGAAAGGAAGAAGTCAAATTGTCTCTATTTGAAGACAACATGACTGCACATTTAGAAGAACCTATCATCTCGGTCCTAAATCTCCTTAAACTGAAAAGCAACTTCAGCAAAGTCTCAGGATACAAAATCAATGTTCAAAAATCACAAGCATTCCTATACAGCAATAACAGACTTAAAGACAGCCAAATCAAGAATGAACTGCCATTCACAATTGCTACAAATATAATAAAATACCTAGGAATACAACTAACAAAGGATGTAAAGGACCTCTTCAAGGAGAACTACAAACGACTGCTCAGGGAAATAAGAGAGGACATAAACAGATGGAAAAACATTCCATGTTCATAGTTAGGAAGAATCAATATCGTGAAAATGGCCATACTGCCCAAAGTAATTTATAGATTCAATGATATCCCCATCAAGCTACCAATGACCTTCTTCACAGAACTTGAAGAAACCATCTTAAACTTCATATGGAACCAAAAGAAAGCCCACATAGCCAAGTCAATTCTAAGCAAAAAGAACAAAGCTGGAGGCATCACCCTACCTGACTTTAAACTATACTACAAGGCTACAGTAATCAAAACAGCATGGTACTGGTACCAAAACAGAGATATATAGACCAATGGAACAGAACAGAGGCCCAGAGGCAATGCCACACATCTACAACTGATCTTTGACAAACCTGACAAAAACAAGCAATGGGGAAAGGATTCCCTATTTAATAAATGGTGTTGGGAAAACTGACTAGTCATGTGCAGAAAGCAGAAACTGAACCCCTTCCTGACACCTTAAACTAAAATTAACTCCAGATGGATTAAAGATTTAAACATAAGCCCTAACACCATAAAAATCTTAGAAGAAAACCTAGGCAAAACCATTCAGGACATAGGCATAGGCAAGTACTTCATGGCTAAAACACCAAAAACATTGGCAACAAAAGCCAAAATAGACAAATGGGATCTAATTTAACTCCAGAGCTTCTGCACAGCAAAAGAAACAATCATTAAAGTGAACCAGCAACCAACAGAATGGGAGAAAAAGTTTGCAATCTACCCACCTGACAAAGGCCTTATATCCAAAATCTATAAAGAACTAAAACAGATTTACAAAAAAGAAACAAACCCATTCAAAAGTGGGCAAAGGATATGAACAGACACTTTCCAAAAGAAGACATATAATGAGGCCAACAAACATATGAAATAATGCTCATCATCACTGGTCATTAGAGAAATGCAAATCAAAACTACATTGAGTACCATCTCACGCCAGTTAGAATGGCGATCATTAAAAAATCTGGAGACAACAGATGCTGGAGAGGATGTGGAGAAATGGGAACACTTTTACACTGTTGGTGGGAGTGTAAATTAGTTCAGCCATTGTGGAAGACAGTGTGGCGATTCCTCAAGGACCTAGAAATAGAAATTCCATTTGACCCAGCAATCCCATTACTGGGTATATATCCATAGGATTGTAAATCATTCTATTATAAGGACACATGCACATGTATGTTCATTGTAGCACTGTTTACAATAGCAAAGACTTGGAACCAACCCCAGTTCCCATCAATGATAGACTGGACAGGGACAATGTGGCACATATACACCATGGAATACTATGCAGCAATAAAAAACGATGAGTTCGTGTTTTTTATAGGGACGTGGATGAACCTGGAGACCATCATTTTCAGCAGTGACACAGGAACAGAAAATCAGACACAGCATATTCTCACTCACAGGCGGTTGTTGAACAATGGGAACACATGGACACAGGGAGGGAGCGTCACACAGAGGTCTGTCTGGGGGCACTAGGGGAGGGACAGTAGGGGATAGGGAGTTGGGGAGGGATAACATGGGGAGAAATGCAAGACATAGGCAATGGGGATGGAGGCAGCAAACCACATTGCCATGTATATATCTATGCAACAATCCTGCATGTTCTTTACATGTACATAAGAACCTAAAATGCAATAAAAATATATATAATAATAATAATAATAATAATAAAATAACAAAAACACCTAGGAATCCTGTTAATCTAAAAAAAGAACACAATATTTATTCAACCATAATGTTTCTTTTTAAATACAGTTTGCTCCTTGAAATGGTATCAGTCAGGGTAAATATTAATATATTTTAAAACTTTTCATTTATTTCAAAGAAAAGACAAATATCCAAATAGAATTTTACGTTTGCCTTTGTTTGAATCAGCACACTGAGAATGCAAAAAGCAGTGTTTTGATCATCCAGTTTCTTTTCTCTCGAAAACAGTCCAAGGAAAAAATTTATAATTCATAATTTCTTAGAAGCTGTGAAATAAGACCAAAGAGAAGAAGAGGAGAGAGGAAGTATGATTTTCCAGTGCCTGGTCATACTATTTTCATTCTGAAAGCTAATGAACAATTTAAATTTTCCAGTAGTGCAATGTTCCAGGGATCAACTACAATAGGATAGAAGCCGAAGTGTTTGTATTTGCTTGCTGTAAGCAATGCATCTTATAGAAGAGTACAAGTTGTGATATTGTGTGTGTGTGTGTGTGTGTGTATGTATGTATATATATTAAATCAATTTTACAATCCAGGAATTCCCTCTTTAGTAAGGTAAATCCATATTCAAATACAGTTAGTACCCACAGCCATTCAATAATGCCTCATTCACATTTCAGATGGAAACATTCATCTTTTGCTGGAGCACATTCTTAAAGTGTATGAACACACAAACACAAAATAGCTTGTATAGCAATCTCTATATTCTGTCTTGCAGGAAAATTATAAAGTGAGCGAGGATTCTAATCATGATGAGTCATTAAACAAGAGACACTACCATATGTTTTCCAAATTTCATTCATTAACAACATACAATCATTTAAAAAATCTATTTGACTTTGACTTGGCAATCTCTTAATTTTAGTGGCACATCTATAAAGCAGTGTTGATGCAGATAAAAATGTCATTTTTAGAGTTATGTTAATTTTGTGTTATTTTCCTTTAGCTCATTTTTAGTCATCACTGTTATTTTTTTCTAATTTTATATTTGCTTTACTAGTTCTTATCCAATATATTGCCTAAAAGTATAACAACTTAGAAACATTTCACTTGCTTCAAAAGATAAATTCATTTGACTGAGACAAATCCAATTAATATCACAAGATATGGCTTCAGCTTAGACTTTTTTTTTTTTTTACAAAATATGACAGGGCGTTTGCACAGGGAATGAAGGAATCACTATCAATATTAATTTAGATTCATCACATATGTCATATTATTACTTTATCATGATAAGCCTGTAAAGAAGACATTAATGCCTATGATACTTAAACACAGAAAGAGGTTTGCAAAGGTTAAAAACTTTGCTAAGACCACAGTTATGAAAAGAGAAAGCTAGAATTAAAACCCAGAGTATGACTTTTTCTAAGCTCCATATCATTTCTCTGCTGTCTCCAAGAGCTTAGAAATCATTTGGTCCAATTTCCTCACATGAGAAGTAACTAACCAGAGACCCAGGCACAGTGAAATTCTTTCCCATGGTGCATGTGGCCAGGCAGAGACAGGGTCAAAACAAATTAATCCTCATTTGTTATACTCTACTAGGTGGCCTTGGCTTATTTCCAACCCTGAGCCACTTGAAATAATGACACGTTTCTAGAAAACTGACTTCTGGCATTAGGCTACTTCAGGAATACTAGCCTAACTTGAGCTCTTTTGGAAGTCATAGCAACTTTCTGGGCCAAAAAGTACTAATGACTAAGTAACATTGCTACATAAATATAATTTATTGAAGTTCAAGAATGGCCTTCAGTGACTATGTTTATAAAGGAAGAATGGGAATGATGATAAAATATTCAATTCTAAGTAATATGTTAGGAAACAGTCTTTCTTTCTCTCAATTTCTTCATCTAGCATATTATCACAGCTGTATCATAGGCTGTGAGTATAGATGCAGTAGATATCTTTGTTTCCTTATGGAGTAGACTTTGATCATTGTAAGATTTACAAAATCAATATTTAACATTTGTAAATCAAAGTATTTCTTTAGCAGTAAAAAAAAGTTTCATTTATTTTATTTAAGTGCTATGGAAGATGATGTGGGATCAGTGTCACCTGCTGTGATGTTTCAGAACATTTCTTCACATGGAAGCCACTATCCTGTACTCAAGATGGCAGCCGGGTGAGCAAACGTTATACATGATTGATGGGTAATGGAATAGTGAATATTTAGCCAACTTACTCTTGAATTGACCACTTCCAGGGAGACGTTCTGTGGCGGAGCACTTGGCACTAAAAGGAATCAAGCAAATTGTGACAGTTACTGCCAAAATCTAGAAAGAGAAATACCATCTGTCTTGTAAAAAGAGAGTGTTTTTTTTTTTTTTTTCCCCATAGTTCATAATGATAGTTAGGTAGGTTAAAACAGGAGGTATTTCAAGAATTTTTGAAGAGCTGAAAAATATTTGTCTATTTTTGGTCTCACTTGGCAAGCTCACCTAGGGAGCTCCCAAAACTGTTAGGCAGGAGAACAAGTGCAGTGATACCAAATATCACCATTTAATTACAGCCCTCTTGTGATAACTTTCCAGAGAAACCAATAAAAATACACAGAAGATTTCCTAGAGTAGTTTTAAAGTCTTAAGATATTGTGTATTTCAGGATTTGCATTGCTTTATGATAAAATATGTCATTCTAATGGTCACCCAGGTTTCTAAATCTCTGTAATGCAATCTTTATTAGCTCTTAAAAAGCAAAAAGAAGAAATACTTCTTAGATTTTTAGCTGCATATAATTAAACCTGTATGTGATAAATGCAAGCAGGTTGCAAATAGCACTTGAGTCAATTCTATTAACAAAGGAGCAACTTATTTTTCTTTGTAGACTTTCTAGGTACAGTATTTTGTTTTTCTTGCCTGCATTTTATTTTCCCACTCCTTGATAGGAGGAAGAACATATACATCTCTTTTTTAATACTTAAACATTTACTCTATCAAAAAAGTGAGTATTCTATCATGTGAGTAATTAAAAGACAACCACTTATTGAATGGCTCGTATGTGTCAGGTAGTATTCTAGATGTCTGGGATGGATAATACATGAAGTAAAGCTTTCTTCCCTATAATAGAAGTAGCATTCCATAAACTATTAACACATATTAATCTACAAAATAAGTAGTCCCTATTGTTGTTTCCCAGAAACGGATGAATTTAATAGCAAAGAAAAGTCCTCAGGTATTTTCAAGAATCTAAGGGCTTTTTTTTTTTTTTTTTTATATCTTTCCCCTTCGTTTACTAGAATTTGGGAAAAAAAACCTATGTTTTTCCATAGGGCACTTAATTTTACAATGAATTTATTTATGCCCTACTCTGAACTTATCTTCTAAACAGTAATTATCATGAAAACATGATGTGTTGATGATTAATTTTTTATCTTCCAAACTGACATTCAATTAATATTTACTAAATGAATGACTGAATGAGCAATTGTGTACTTAGTTATATAGTTCCTAGACCTTTCTGGGAATGATGAGAAATGCAACTTTTTTTTTAATTTTGATTTTGAACTTCTGATCTTAGTGCCTGATGAAGGTTGCAGCCAGTGTAGCTTCTGATAAAGTGCTCATTTTTAATGAATTAACTCAGCAAGTATTCTTTCAAAAATATTCCACAACTTATAAAATCATTCTTATTTAACTTTTGAAGTTCATATTCCGATTTTAAAATTAAATACAGAATGTAATCCCAATAAGGAAAAAGATTTTTATTCATTTTGATGTTGCATCACCAATATCAAGAAGAGTTTAAGGTTTAAGGCACATGTTGCATATTTAGTAAATAGTTACTGAATAAACATATTAGTAGAAAGTTTATAAATTACAATAAAAATGCTTTCATATTCAGTTTGGTCCCAAGTTTTGTTTTGTTAATTTATTTTTTAAGTTAAAGTATAAAATTGCAGTTGTACTTGTATTATTTATTTCTGAATTATACTATTCTAAACATTATAATTATTGAGGTATAATTGCAATTTAGTTTTTTAAAGTGAAGTATCAATTGAATAACAAGCCCTATGTCATACAATTTCACAAACCTCCAAAAGTAGTATCCTTTAAAAGCAAAGTTTGGAAATAATGTCTTAATATTAAGTGATGTTGATTCACTTCTTAAACATGAAAAAATATATCTAGTTTATATTTAACATAATATTGTAATACTGATATGTCATGCTATATGTTTCTAATCATATTACACTCACTTTTTGATCAATTGAAGAGTATCAAAACATAATCTTATTTACTAATTGAATTTTTGTCAGAAAACTGAATTTTGGAAGAAGGAGAAGTAACATTTATTATGTGTTTTGTTATAGGTACTGTTCCAGCTGATATGCAACCCTTAAATGTCACTTTCATTTACATTTATAAGTGTTATTTAACTCCTTATTTCTAGAAATCCAAGAATACTTTAAGAGAAAAGATATATATGTATCCTTTTTTTGTAGCTACCACAATTTTATAAGCATCAGGATTGTTTTCTGCCTTAAGAGTTGAAAGGCAGGCCAGGCATGGTGGCTCACACTTGTAATCCCAGCAGTTTGGGAGCCCAAAGCAGCTGGATCACTTGAGATCAGGAGTTCCATATCAGCCTGGCCAATATGGTGAAATCCCATCTCCGGTAAAAATACAAAAATTATTTGGATATGGTGGTACATGCCTGTAGTCTCAGCAACTCCAGAGGCTGAGATAGGAGAATCACTTGAACCTGGGAGATGGAGGCTGCAGGGAGCTGAGATTGTACTACTGTACTTCAGCCTGGGTGACAGAGTGAGACTCCGTTTCAAAAAAAAAAAGAACAAGAATTAAAGTATTTTTTCTATTTTTTTTTTCTTTTTTGCAATGTAAATTTCTTTAACTTTCCACTGATAGCAGACTGGCTATTCTTTTTTTGTCAGAGAAGAGAGTAGAGAATTTTTCTACAGCATTTTTAATTATCAGTTCCTACTCCCTCTTTCTCATTATCAATTTCCATATTATTTAGAGATAAATAGATACAAAAGGTAGGATTAGATGCTATGGCTAGGTGAAAGTAAAGAGAACCCACAACGATCTGTTCTTTTCTACACTTGTCTTCCCAAGATGCTTCTTGTTTCACGAGGCAGGAGTAAAAGGATACTTTTGTCTTCAAAATGTCAAATAATTTATTATTTACAATAAATAGGTCCATTCAAGCCAATAACAGATGGGGCTGGAAACTTCCCTCAATACGGAGAAGTATGCTGGCTTAAAACACATCGAGATGAGGTATTTGGTAGGACACATCAAGTTCCCATAATTGTAAATAAGTCTCCAGAAGCATAGGCATTTCAATTCCTCCCCTCAGCAAGTGTATGCTGTCAGGCACACACAATTTATAGACCGAAATAATTCTTATTTATTTTGAGACGGAGTCTCTCTCTGTTACCCAGGCTGGAGTGCAGTGGTGTGATCTCAACTCACTGCAACCTCCGACTCCTGACTTCAAGTGATTCTCCTGCCTCAGCCTCCCAGGTAGCTAGGATGTCAGGTGTGCACCACCATGCTGGGATATATATATTTTTTTTTTTTCTTTTTTACTAGAAACAGGATTTCACTACGTTGACCAGGCTACTCTCAAACTTCTGGCCTCAAGTGATCTGCTTGCCTTGGCTTCCCAAAGTGATGGAATTATAGGCGTGAGCCACTCTGCCCAGCAGTAATTCATATTTCATTATAAACATTTTTCTTTAAAGGTCATTTATCACAGAATAAAAAAAATACATGTTTCCACACTGAATCTTGGCTCTGAATTTACTAGCTTATGTGGCCTGGCTCCACTGCTTACCACCTTTTGTGTTCTGTTTCTGACTTACTTTTGTCATTTGTAAAGTAAGGAAAAAATTATAGCATTGTGAAGATGAAAGGTAAAGGCAAACTACTTAGATCAGAGCCTTGCCCTAGTGAGTATTCAACGAATATTAATGATAGTGATAAAAACAGTAAGTACATTCTTACACTTATGTTGCCTATGAAATTGGGTCTTCTGCTTTTGGACACAGGACAAGCTGGCATGGAAACTTACAACTGTTCATTCATTCATAAAAGCTCTTAGTGACTTACCTATGCCAACTACTCCAAGAGACAGTATTTTGGAACACATTCCCAAAATTAGTTAGATGTCCATATGCAATGTAATTGCATATGGTGTGATAAAATGGATCATTGTAAACCAGTGGTATTCTAGGTGGAGGAATTTGAATGAAAAATAATGTTTCTACTCAGAAAACAAAGCAGAGCTAAATGAGAGATGACAGCTCATCTGGATAAAGATCTTTACAAGCATCCCAGTAGAACAGAGGAAAAAACGTAAAATAATTAATCTGGAAGAATTTATTTACATTTGACTTTGGTGGGTTTTTTTTTCAATTTTTCTATGTCTCAGTATATTTTTATGGTAAGACTCCTGACATGAAAAGATTTATAATGTTCTCTATTATACAGACACATTTAGACACAGTCATATATTAAATTAGTTCCACAAATGAAAAATCCTGAAGCCTTTGCATACAAAAATTTGCAGTTTTGACTGAACTGTCTAATTAATCCAATAAATATTTACTCTATTAGGAGGAATACAGAGATGAATATAACATCATCCCTCATACGTAGGAGCACGTAATATTAATATAATGAGAAAAACTGATTGCACATTGATAAAGATAATATTTATTAAACACTTAAATGTTATGTACTTTTTTAGGTGCTTACACAGATCAGCCCATTTAATTTTCACAACATTCACCTGTTACAACATACGCAAAGTTAAAGAAGAAGAGTGCTTTATGACTGAAGACTAGGAAGCAGGTGATATTACATGTGATAAAATACAACTCAGTGTGATGTATGACCTCAGCATGAACAGCTTCAGTATAAAGGAGAAAACATGGATTGAAGTAGACAGAAAGAAACTGGATAATAAGGAAATGGAAGCCAAGGGCACAGATTTCTGTTGGACATTCAAAGAGATGAGTTGATTGTAAAAATGAATGCAGATGAGGTCAGTATGTCCACTATAAGAGGCTTATAAAGTTCTTGCTTTCTCCTTTCAGTGCATTTGATAGAGGGAATTTGGTATCCTTTGCACAGTGATGTTTATTGGGGTTAAGGTCATAAAATTGTCTTTTCTTTTTGTAATAGTGACAGACATTTTCTAAGTCCTAAACACTGTAACAATTCCAGAAGATAATTCTTGGACTAATGAATGATAATCTATCTTTCTCACTTACGACATTTAAAACCAAAGTAGAGAATAAGGCCACAGTATTACAGTTCACAGAGTGAATGAAATCTACATAAATTATGTAAAATATTCACTTTCATTTGTTTTTCTTTTATTTTTATAATTATAAGTTGTGAAGTAATTTATTCTACCAATAAATATTCTGTTCTGTCTTCAATAACAGAATCGGATGGATGGGCATAAGAATTACATTCAAAGTGATACCAAAATGGTATTACATATAAAATACATTTTAAAGTTGAATTTGCAAATGAGCATTATTCCTGTGTTCTCTTTGTACTGTCCTTAATATGCATGCCCTTCCTCATTTCATTGATATTGTGTGAAATCTACACCCAGACGCTTTCCCAGATTAAATGATAGATCTGTCAGGAAATCACAAGCTAAAGTCATTTTTTAATTGAAAAGATCAATAATTTATAGAATTAAACACATTAAATGGAAACTGTTCCTAAAAAAAGCTAGCTCATGGCCTTTTTTAATACTCACATGAGCCCATCTCTACATTTCTGCACCTGCCTGAGTTTTCATTGGCTCCACATCATATATATTGGTATATTTTATTTTCACTTTTTATCAAATTTCCCAACCTTTCATGATCATCTGTAGATTTCTAGTTTCCCCTGGCCATTACCTTGCCAAGTTTATTCTCTTTATTAAGATTTCTTTCTCTCTTTTATGGCATTAAAAAACACGTCTAGCCTGGGCAACAAAGTGAGATCCTATCTCTGCAAAAAATAAAAATATTAGCTGGGCACTGTGGCCTATGCCTATAGTTCCAGCTACTCAGGAGGCTTAGGCAGGAAAATCCCTTGAGGCTGGATGCAGTGGCGCATGACTATAATCCGAGTACTTTGGGAGGCCAAGGTGGGTATACGACTTGAGGTCAGGAGTTTGGGAGCAGCCTGCTCAACACGGTGAAACTCCGTCTCTACCAAAAATACAAAAATTAGCCGGTTGTGGTGGCATGCAACTGTAATTCCAGGTACTCAGGAGGCTGAGGCAGGAGAATCACTTAAACCCAGGAGGTGGAGGTTGCAGTGAGCCGAGATCAAACCAATGCATTCCAGCCTGGGTGACAGAGTAAGACTCTGCTTCAGACAGGAGGGGAGGGGAGGGGAGGGAAGGGGAGGAGAGGGGAGGGGAGGGGAGGGGAGGGGAGGGGGGGGGGGGGGCGGGGGGGGGGGGGCAGGGAGGGGGAGGGAAGAGGTGAGAAGAGAGGAGAGAGGACGGGGCTGGGGAGGTGGTAGTAAGCCACAATTGTGTGTGTGTGTTTTTTGTCTCGAGAGGTGTGTGTGTGTGTGTGTGTGTGTGTGTGTGTGTGTGTGTGTGTGTGTGTGTCTATTCTTCCATTTAGTTGGCAACATACACATTTTTCATTCTCAATTTTAATACTTTCAGTTTCAATATTAGCTTATTTGGCCTAAGTCCTTATATTTTCTAATTAAGAGGTAAATATAGGGGGATTTGTCTATCATTTACATCTTTAATCATCCTCACGCTTTTAGAAGGGGAAATAAAAGAAACATGCCAATTAAAATTAGTACACACATGCACAAACATGTTTATGTTAGAAGATTTAAAGATATAAAAATATACATGCATAAAAATAATTTTAGCTCTTCATCAATAGTCACATTTTGAGGATTACCTATTAGTATATACTGACTCAAGAGTATAAGTATATGTATATGCATATATACATATATATTTATTTAATATGGAGAAACGGTCTCACTCTGTTGCCAAGGCTGGAGTTCAGTAGAGCAATCATGGCTCACTGAAGTCTTGAACTCCAAGGGTCAAGTGATCCTCCAGCCTCAGCCTCCCAAGTAATTGGGATCACAGGTGCATGCCATCATATCCAGCTAATTAAAAAAAAAAAGAAGAAGAAAGAAACAGTTTACAGAGATAGGGTCTCACTATGTTGCTCAGGTGGGTCTCAAACTCTTAGGCTCAAGCCATCCTCCTGCCTCAGTCTCTAAATGTGCTAGGATTACAGGTGTGAGACACCACACCCAGTCAGGATTATGTATCTTGATAGCAAGTTTACATTTGATTGTAATAGTCCATAAATTTTTAGTCAGGAAGCCTTGAAAATGGAATCTGCGATATATGTGCAATATTATGTCATTATTGTAACAAATTTGTAAAAGGAATTTCAGTGTTTTTAACTTACCATCAGAAAGCGTAACCACTGTTACATCATCAGTAGACACTCCTGGGCCGTAGCGATTATAAGCTAAGAATCGAAGACTATATTCGGTGAATTTTTTCAGGCCTTCCAGTTTATAAGATAGTCCATCAACCTCTATATTCTGGAGACACAAAACATTAAAACTGTTATCAAGGAAGCACGTTAAAGTAGAAATGGCACTCATTCTGTACAATCAGTGATTGGACATTAGACTCTTACAAACTGCACTCCAGCCTTATAATGAGTTATAAAACCTACCTTGTGACACAGACTTGTCCCACTAAAAACCAACTGCTCTGTAGACTCCTTGTTAAAACAGCACATACTATTTTTACAGTCATTAAGTTCCAATTTGTTTAACACTACTGAATATAGTGAACGGCTTGGGTTATTCTACCCACTCTAAACTCTCACAGGCAGAAGTCAGCTTATAACTCCACAGGAACGGAGATTTTCTCCTGTACCCAAAATGGAATAATTCACCAAGAAACAAGAGATTTTGTGCTTCCCTTGCTGAAATATACCCACAGCTCTTGAAGCCATCAGATGCGTTGCTACAATTTTTATCTCCCAAAATGCTATTAAATTGGTTGAAGCTATTTGAGCATCTCACGGCTGCAGTAAATGAGTTACTGAAGGTGAAGGTCACTGAGGAATCAGATCACCATACTCACATCTATCTTGGGTGATGCTGGTTTTGAATTTATTTAAATGGGTTGGCAAAATTTATTATTGAAGAGCTAACATATACATAAGGGCAGATTTTAAAAAGTTGAAAAATGAGCCAAAAATAGCTTGAAGGTAGCAAGAAAAAAAATACAACCCATGATTACATAGGAGGAGCTCTTGTTATGTTTATGATATAATTTGGGACTGGACTTCAGCTATTTCTGAATATAAAATATTTCTTATTTTTACAATAAAAATTCTGATCATACAGTTTATATGGAAGCATGAAGGCCATTCCATGCTTGACAAGCTTCACAATACACCATACGAACTCCCATATCCTGAGGCCAATTTTTGATCTTACCTATTGAATGTATACTTGTCTGTATATATTTTCCTACATGAAGCTGAGAATCTGGAAATATCTCAATAGTCATACAGACATATAATATATCTATGTATATATGAATCTCAGAAATTTTATTTGTGACATATATGTGTATGCATGTATCACAAAATAGAATTTTTGAGTTTCATGTGTCTCTCTAAAGACTTATTTACTTTTAGTTTGCTTAAACAATTAATTTGCTTCTTTTCAGGTCTCTATGCTAACCATTGTATAGAAGCAAAAGGTAAGGAGGAGATTAGGCTTCTCAGAGTAAGTTCTTCTGAAAATAATAAAAAATGATAGGTTACATCCTGAAAATGTAAAGAAGTTAGATATAATACCAAATGTTTTAGAATTAAAAAAAAAGCAGTTTGGTGAATGCCACTGACTATGAGGGCAATCACCCCTTAGTCTAAGGAATAATATTGCAAATGCTTTCCATAACTAGGTGAATGAATACAAATGTGGTTGCCCACACAAGCCAGGCTGCTGCAGACTCAAACAAAAAATTGGCATCCTTTCTATTGACTTCACTTTATTGCCCATTTACCTCTTACCACTAGACTTTAATTAAATTGTATAAAGTTTCCAATAACAAGTGCTTTAAAACTAATCAGCTTTTCAATGAATGTGCTAAACACTGGGCTGCATCAAGAGCGTGCAGGTCTTTCCTGTTTCTCCACCTCTAGAGCTATTCAAAGATGGAAGCATCCAATCAGATGGAAGCAGTGCAGCCCATTCCTTCACCTACCTGTTCTTTTCCCGTGGACACCTCAGTGCAGAACAATCTATAACCTTGGACTGGACCGTTTGCATAGGCAGGGGGTTCCCAGGTAATAAGAATTGAGGTAGGTGAGGTAGATACAGCTTGCAGGTTTTCTACTGGCCCTGGAACTTGTACTGTATACAAGAAAGAAGTGATTAGGATGAGTGGTTTTTCTTTCTCAAAACAAACAAAATTATGTTTTTACAGTTCAATAAAATTCTAGGAGTATGTATTTTAGAATGATATAGAAAAAGAATATAAAAATATAAACCCTGGAAACTTTAGAATCATTTCATTTTAAAATTCATAAGAAGGTTACATTAACTGAAATTGCCTATTTTATTTTACATTTAAAGAAACTGGTAAAGGAGTGGAAGTGACTAAGATAACGGCAGAAAAGAGTGGGATGCTGAATCTAAACTTTTAGTCTGAAAAATCTGCCACTATGCCACTGTGTCCTTGCCTGCATATGGCTAATAACTGCAGAAGGAATAGAGAAAGTCCATTTGGAGGACTTGTACGTTATGGTTCTACTTATAATTTTAAAAGTTTGCACAGCTACAGATAATTCACCACGTTGTCTTTATTTAAGTCAGCATTTTAAAATCTTGCCTAATTCTGGGTCCTTTAAATGAATTTTAGCCATTTCATTTTCAGTTCCACTTTTTAGTATTACATTTTCTCTCATTATTGTTACTTTACTTAATCAAGGATAAAAAACTTTGCCTGTTAATGAAATCAGATAGCACAGGTCCACAACAGTTTACCAAAAACACTTGTCTATACTTTTCTTTTCTTTCCTTATTTTTTTCTTTTCTTTTTTGCAGAGACAGAGTCTTGCTCTGTTGCCCAGGCTGGAGTGCAGTGGCCTGATCACATCTCACAGCAACCTTGAACTCCTGGAGTCAAGCAATCCTTCTGTCTCAACTTCCTGAGTAGACAGGACTACAAACATGCACCACCATGTCCAGCTGCTTTTTTTTATTTTTGTAGAGACCAGGTCTCTATCTTGCCCAGGACAGTCTCAAACTTCTGGCAAGCAATCCTCCTGTCTTGGCATCCCAAAGTCCTGGGATTACAGATGTGAGGCACCACACCCAGCCCAGGTATCTCAGCATTCTGAAACTTCCAGAGTTTAGAAAAGTAAAATGGTACCTATGCAGGATTTTTAATGTAACACTCCTAATGGGGTCTGTAACTATATATTTAATCAAATGTAATGATATCAAATTAATCAAATTTAACATATTTGTTAATCAAATGTAACTATGTATTTGCAGAAAGCATATGATATTTACACCAAACAGGCTTATTAAATACTATGAATAGTCTAGCATGAGGTCAAGTCAGGTTCAGATGCAGAATGAGTTAAGAAAAAGCTTCCATTTTGATTATTTGCTAATTTTGTATTTGTTCATAATTTTGTATTCCTGCATATGGACCTGTATATGGCTTGTACATGGTAGGTACAATGGACACATTATGGTAAATGATATCACCATCGCACGTTTACAGCCTTACTTGATAATGTCGTCTGTGTATTTTCCTCAGCCTTGGATACCACCTAGTTTTGGACAGATATGCATTGTAGGCCTCTAATAGAATTCTGAGAGTTTTAACATCCATAGCAACAACGGCATATAAAAAGCTGCCTGGCATGTATCTGATGATACACTTCTTAGATCAGCGTGGAACCTAACAGCATATCTCTGCATCATTTTTCAAGATTTGTTCCGTGGAACCCAGGCTTCTTACGGTATCATTGCTCACACGTTTATTTGGAAAAATATTTATATTCATGTCAGAATATGTCTTTATGTCACCTTTGCATATTTCGCACCAGTCCCCAAACCTTGAGAATCCTTGTTCTTAACAACTGTATTTTTTTACCTTAGCAAATGATTTTTTTACTTTTTGCCATTAAAAAATGTATTGGTAAATAATTTAAAGCCAAAGGAAAATTTAAGAATAAGAATGCTTCATAGAACAGCCCTATTTCCTTTATCCAAACTGACCTATTGTCAACACTTCGAAATATATATACCAAAATATTCCTAATTACATACACACACACAGATATATATATATATATATATATATATATATACATACATACATACATACACATATGCACATAAGAGAGACAGGGAAACTATATATAATCAGAATAAGCTACCCAAATCATTTCTCCTTAACCCTAAATACTTTAGTGCATGTTTCTTAAAAATAAATGAGTATATGAATAGTATAGTTATCAACTTCCACAAATTTTTTTTTTTTTTTTTTCCTTTTGAGACGGAGTTTCATTTGTTACCCAGGCTGGAGTGCAATGGTGCAATCTCGGCTCACTGCAACCTCCGCCTCCTGGGTTCAGGCAATTCTCCTGCCTCAGCCTCCTGAGTAGCTGGGATTACAGGCATATGCCACCATGCCCAGCTAATTTTTTGTATTTTTAGTAGAGTCGGGGTTTCACCATGTTGACCAGGATGGTCTCGATCTCTTGACCGATCCACCCGCCACGGCCTCCCAAAGTGCTGGGATTACAGGCATGAGCCACCACACCCGGCCCCAACTTCCACGAATTTAACATTAACACAATACTTTTATCAAATCTTCATCTACATTTTGGTTGTATCAACTGACCAATAGTGTCATTGGTGTGGCACTCCCTTCACCCATTCAAGATCCAGTTTAAGGTCAGGTTTTGTTGCCACGTCTTTCCATGCTGTTGTGAGTTCAAGCAGTTCTAAATCCATTCTTTGACATTTGGGCAATTTATATTTTAAAGAATCTAGCCCCTTTTTATAAATAAAATGTTCATCATCTTGAATGTGTCTTTGTATCCTCATGTTAGATTTAGGTTATGCATTTCAGACAAATGAAATGTCAATGATGTCTGTTCTCAGGGCATCACATCCAGAGGCACAAAGTCTCTCTCTCCCCTCATTTATAATGCCAAAGCTGAGTACCTGGCCAAGGTGCTGTCAGTTTTCCTTAGTGTATAGTTTGAAGGTTTCTCACGCCATTACAGCTTTCTACCACTTGCAGCTAATAAGCAACTCATGGGGAGATAACATTAGGACCATATAAATATGCTTGTTATCAACATTTCCCATAGATTTAGTATCTAATAATGGTTCTTGATGGAATCAATTTCTAGCATGGTGGTTACAAAATAATGATTTTTTTTTTCTATTCCAGCACTTTTTCTACATTTACTTGTTGACACTTAGCATTTGACTATAAGCAAAAGTCCGTATTTTTCTCTTCTTGTGAATCTTTTATTTCAGTGGGCACCTGGATTCCTCCTTTTTCATAACCTATAATTCATTACTGTCCTTAATTATATTGGTGCTCAGATTGACCCAGATTCAACCAGGGAAGCTCTTTTTAATCTTGTTTTTCTGTCCTGTGACATACTCCAATCATTTATTGGAGTACCTTGTTTCTTTTTGGCATAGGATGTTCCAGGCTCATCTTAATCTTGCGTCAGCTGTAGAAACAGACACTTTTTTTTAAGATTTTCTGGTTCTTTTTAGTGGAAAATAGTATAAAGACAAATATTAGAATGGTAGGTGTATAAGTTGCTACTTGAGTGCATTTTCTTCTAAGTCTTTTTGGTGAACAGGGCTAAAAAACATGCATACACATGCCCACACACAAATTTACACACACATATATACATGTATATACATACATACAGATAGTACATATTTTTCCTGACTCCAAAGTAATGCCTCCCATTTCAATCTATCTCTATTGGGTTTTGTCTTGCTCTTCTCATTCCTTTTTGATGTATTCTTTCCTTCACAGAAAGAATCCTTACTCCTAAAGAGTTGTATTTTGACACTTTATGAGTGTCCCCACTTTAATACCCTTCCAGAAAGAAATATTTTTTTTTTCTAGGAAAAAGCTCTCTGTTCCACAAAGGAGAATTTATGAGACAAAGTTGAACAATGAGACATCTTACAGTGGATAATGACTCACCAGAATCATGCTATAATAAAGCAAACATTTTCCTTAATGGGAAAAACAAAAAGAAATCAAACCAAAAATGTGTACACTAATATTGTTGAAATGAATTGTCACAGTACTATAAAGAATAGAAACATTGATGATTGGTATGTTTGTATTATTATTGATATATTCACAAAGACAATGCACGTATTTCAAGAGGGGACATTTCTGCTTCTGAACCTATTATTCCTCAATAGAAGGCAGAGAAAGGAGCCAGAGCATTGAGAATGAATGACCTGCTTAAGATATATGCTGTATGTGAGGTATTCAGAATTGTGATATGGTGCACACAGTGCATAAACATGTGTCCCAGTTGATACATAAAGTACTGAATGTGTCCCAGTTGATACATTAAGCACTGAATGTGCTCCTTCTTGCTCTCTTATGGCTATACGGAAAGGGTGTGGTTTATTAACATGGCTCAAACTGGGAGCAGAGATTTCAATTTAAAAATGACCATTCCAAGGACATCACTCCTCTCGTGAGATATAACACATTCAAAGAAGGTGACAGCCCAGCCCTAGCTTCCCAGTCACAACGACTCCAGGAGGACTGGGAGATGAGAGGGTGTCTGGGGGAAGGGAAGGGGAGCCAGTGTATGGGAAGCGTCTGCTCATCTCTCCCGCTAGAGCACAACAGGGTGACGAGAAACAATTCAAATGGACTCCAAGTTTCAAGGGGCAAAGAGAAGAACATGCACCTTATCTGACCTATCACATGCACAGTAGGTGACAAATTTGCTGGGAAGGAAGGAGTGTGAGGTCTCCCCATGTCACTCTGAGAGTTTTCTGAGGTTCTAAGCATGGCATGGAAGAGACGCTACAAATGAACAATTCATCTACAGTAAAACCAATGAGAATCCACAAGAGAAGGCTGAGAGAGCAACCTAGCGAGGGAGGGGCTGTGTATGGTTCGGAATGGGAGGACGTGCACAGCCATACATGACCATGGCCCTTTGAGAATCATCAAGGCTTGGAAACTTGTGTGAATCAGATATGACAAACACACAGACACTTCCATCAGGCATCATGGAGGAGAATAGACTACAGGGATATCTGCAGCTCAGAGCAGTATCCCCATAAGAACAAACATGAGACCACAATCCTTTCCTGCTAAG